GTTCATATGAAATATCGCTACCCCATACGCGGAGCACGGGGTGGCTCTGGTACCCTTTTTCTCGCTGTTCTGGAACCAATTTTAGTAAATACATCACACTGAAGCTCTTGATCTCTACTTTTATGCTCCCAAAACCCCATTTTTTGATTTGAAGGAGCAATCAGGCAAAAAACGTGTTTTGGAAAAACTCCTGTTTTTCTCTGGTTCATCTCTTTTCACAAGCTTTTTCGTGCATTTGATAGATCTTGCTCCGTTTATAATGTGACAACCTTCCAGAGCTTATTCTTTCGATGACGCGTAAATTATTCGTAAAAAATTGTGAAAAGGCCTTTTTCTCTACCTTGTTCTCCTTCATTGTTTTTTTTTTCCAACTTGGGCGATTATTGCTCAGAATAGCGGGCACAACAATCCAACAACGTCCCAGGAAACATGAAATTCAAGGTGGGCTTGAGTTTGAGGACGCACTAGAAACCAAATTGGTTTTGACTGGACTTCGACTGAGTAAAATCAAAATATTGCGTTTCCGCAACTAATGCTTTCCTTGTTTATTTTCTTCTTGGTGGTCACCATTTCCAAAACATGGTTACTTTCGCGAAACAATCACAAAGAAAAAATTAACTTTTCCTTGTTTTTCCTTGTGGGATCGCCCTAGAGCGAAAATCTGCACTTCGAGATGCCGCCAAGTAAAAGATTTCAGAATCATTGCCGCGCCTTTATTCGATTTTTTAAGAATCGTTTGCTTTTCTATCTTTGCATCTCTTTCTCCTCTGATTTTCCTCAAACAACCTCCACTTTGGGCAAATATTCAAACGCACTTCACTTCTGATATCCTGTCTCCTAATTTCGCCTAGGGTACCGTAGATAACTGAGGTGCTATGTCGTGCAAATGCCCACTGCCATTTTACCCTCTGGCGCGGCATGCGGGCAGGAGAGACTATATAAGCAATGCCAATACCATTCACGCCCCGTTCTCAACAGGAGGTGGCAATTGCTTACACCCCGCAGCAAAAGGCAACCTTTTCACCACACAGCAAAATTTTATAATTGAAAGTTGCGAGAAGTACTTACAAACTTCCTAAGCTGTTGAACTTTCACATTCATCGTTCACGAGCTCACCACTATCAGTGACACCAATGTGCACTGACCTCAAAATGTTCTGGCAAGAAACTTAGGACACTCTTGATCTCAAAAGTATCGAAACTTTCTTCTCCCATTATCTAACAAAATCTGAATTTACTTTTACATCGCCGTCGATATCCAAAAGCGGCGTACCCACTTTGCTTTTGTCTCCCTGCACAAGGCTCCTTACTGGGAAAGTTTTGATGTCTTTATTTTTCCAGCAGAATTTTAAGCACCACCTTTAGATGCAAACCACAAGTGCTCAAAAGTGGCGCAAAATTGTCTCATCAAAGCTAGATAGGCACTAGAAAGGTGACAAATTTACATCTTTTGATTTTTTGAGGACTTCGAGTTTGGAAAAAACTTCTAATTCAAGACCCGAGCAGGAGCATCAAAAAACAACCAATAATTGAATTAGATAATGCTCTCGTTGACTAGGTGCACGAGATTCTATATTTGTACAGCACTCTTTTTGTAAGAGAATCGCACTTAATCATACATTTCTTAGAAGCATATTCATAGACAAAAATAAAATTTTCAGCTAAGACGCACTATGTATAATATATAGAGAGGAGTCATTTCGAAAGAGACAGTTTTTGTAGGATCCTACTCTTCGAATTTTCGAATCTGTGTAAATTGTTGTTTAATACCTTTTGCAGGGTACGTAGTTAGTTGGTAATGGAACTTGAGCCAACAGTGTTGTGTACCTTCCTTGAAGACATGAAATACGCGGCCCATTACTAAACGATTGCAAACAATTTTGCTTATTTTATTGACTCTTTAAAAGCGAGTTACTAACCTCAAAATACAAGGAGCATAAAAAACGGCTCGTTCTGCTGTTAAGTTTTCGGATGCGCCTCCACCGTTTTTACAATCATTCCTGCCTTTGTGAAACCAGTACGCTAGTTGCTTTAAAATTCCGCAAGACATTCTCAGAGAAGCCCATTTTGTTCAACACACTCCGACCTTTGCCAACGACACTCATAGTTCCTGTGACAGGTAAAAAATTCATTCCTAAAATGTAATGTGAGCGATAGATAGAGCCGCCTCAAAGCAGCTGGAATGACAGGGAGTATTGGAGGCATTGATGACTCACGAAGACGATAGCAGAGAAGCACGCATGACGAAAATTTCAAAACACTCGTGTCATCGCATGTGGTGTAGGGTGCGATCAATTTGACAATTTCGAGACCACTCTCTCGTCTCGAGCTTGTCTGCGCATAGCCTTTTTCCCACTTGGGCGATTATTGCTCAGAATAGCGAGCACAACAACCTAAGAACGTTCCAGGAAATATGAAATTCAATGTGAGGGTAAGTTTAAGGACACACTAAAAACTGAATTGATTTTGACGTGCACTTCGACTGAGTAAAATCAAAATATTACGTAGACTATCGCATGATTGCGGAGCAACACTCCAGGTGGGAACATTTAAGCGACCGGAACTGGGAAAACCTTGTTGAGTTTGAGACGGCTACTTCTGTCAAAGTAGATCTTTTGATTGCAAATTCAAGAAGATCCGCTAAAGGTGCAAAAGGTAGGAGGAATGAGAAATTTTGGCAACTACAGTCTGTCTCAATCATAGTAAGGCAAATGATGTCTGCTTCGCGCACTCGAAACGCAAAACGTTTGCTCTGCACTTGCGCACAGCATTGCCAGAAAAAAAAACGAAGGAAATGAACGGGGAACAGACAGCTCCTAACACAACTCCTGACATAACCATCTTTAGCAGACCGCACCGCGACGCTCGGTCATAGCATTGAGGAGCGCATCATGTCACTTTATCCTGTTCCGGGTTGGTGTAGACTGTGAACATGTAAGCGACGCATTAATAACGCTTTGGGGCAAAACTCCAAGGCGCTTGAGCTAAATCTAAAGAGAGTGAGAATGCGAAAAGGATTTATCACTGTTGAGGAGCTCACATGTTGTTTATCGTTGTTCAGGAGTTCACATGAGAAATGTTAAGGCAGGGGCAGTTTGACTTCAAGAACTGCCCTTCAAAACACAGTAAGGAACAGCGGTGGGGGTAGGAGGAAGAAGAATGTCAAAAATCTGTGGCATTTCTAACATGGAAATCTTGAATATTCATGTAAACAAGAATTCCTGACTTTGACTTTGATAGACTCTGCGTTAGGTGTACGCGCAATACTTTGAAAGTTTAATTTGGTTAGCGCAAAATACGGGCATGGAAAATATCCATATTTTAAAAAATGTTCTGCGCACTATGGCACTGTGACATCCTATTAGTTGTGTTCTTATACGTTTATAATATAAAAAATTTTAATTCAGCCATCGTAAAAACCCATAAACCATCCAAAGCTATCCCTTTTTTTCTTCTCTACGTAGACAAGTGTTCTTGTAAAAGGTTACCAATACATAAGAGAGTTTTCAGCAAAAACGAAGCAATTGCAAAAGCTCTCAAAAGCTTATCAGTAGCGGCAAATAGAATCGGTGACGTACCGCTTTCCTCTTTAGGTGCAAAATCAAAGCTCTTCAAATTAAATGTTTTGAGAACGAACCTCCTTACTTTTTGAGAAAAACTTTGAAGCTGGATACTTCTTTGAAGCGATACACTTGAAAGATGTCGAGTTTTCTCCTGGGTGAGACACCGGCCCGTAGTAAACACACCATCGAGGCATCTCTCTCGACGCGGACCGGAGTTGAGGTCATCGCGCCTCAGTCCAGCATACGGCGAGCTATTGATTTGGATGCGGATCACTGCCGAGGCATTGCAATCAAATGTGTACTTGAAAAAGAAGCACTCGAGCTGGTTTGGTCAAACGGATAAGCGATTGGAATTACGCGCGCGCGGCCGTGGTTCGACTCCGTCTACCAACTCGCTTTTTGATGCATCGCCGGGCAGTCTTTGTTAGCGGCCACTATGGCAATCGATGATGATCGCTATCAAGGACTTCGCCAAGCAAATACACGGATAAAACAGAAACACAATTTGTGACGAAAATTTTATGAAAAAACGAAATGATAGTTGCGTGTATTCAATGAAATGAATAAATGAGTTCTCGTCTTGTACAGCCAGTGAGAAAAAAATCAGTAAGATTTACAAAAAAGAGAAGAATTTGTTTTTTTTGTTTTCCTCGCCAAAATCAGCTGTTCATCGATCCTCTCCTTTTCGGGCGCGGTGGTGCAGTTTTGCGCCGATTTTTTCTGCATTTTTTGGCAAAGCTGTGTGTATCGTAAGTTACTCAGGAGCAAATTATGTTAGATGCAGTCAACTCTTGTCTGCGTCTCCTCTTTCACACGCTATTTGCATTCTTCTAACATCCGTTCACGTTCAGTTCAACTCTACGTGAACGGATGTGGAACAGTTGACTGCGGCAGGTGGACAGATGGCCAACTATCAGTTGACTTGACCATCTTATAGCATGGGAAGTTGGACGGTCATCAGTTCACCTCACCTAAGCTTAACTGATGGGATAAGTTGAGTTCACCTCAACTGATCAGGCTTTACTACGGGCCACCATTACACATACGTTTCCTACGAAAAATTTCCGGTGTTTCATTTCAAAGTCAACGGTCATTTCGCTCAAGCTTATGCACTACTTACCATTGTCTACTTTTGCGGGAAAAAAGAGCTGTCGAGTGAAGGGGGGAAGGGATGAAAAAAAGTTTTCTGAGAAAATTCAAATACTAGACGTTTTCTCCATTTCTCTCTTCTCCTCTTCTTCCCAACTAATCTGCTGCAAAATAATGAGTGTTCTAAGCAACACCTTTTGTGAAAGTGAGATTCCAATCCACATCAATCAAGCCACTTTTCCATCGCTAGGATGTATTATGGGACATTAAATCGGTTACCTCACCTCATGAGTTTCAGCTTGCTTCCGCACTCATACTATCAAGCTTGCAGGAGATTATGCCTGTTGAGGTGTCACTGTCAGAATTGTCGCAAGTGGTGTCCGTAAACTCGGGTAAGTTCCAAAAAATACTGGATAATTCAGTTATGAACATGGACTGGAATTATTTCGCAGAATTTTGCTGGATTGAAAATATGGTGTTCATATATTGGATTTTTCTTTGAATTTTTCCTCAATTTTTTCGTTGCCCTAGTCAATCTGGAAACGCGTAAAGGAATTCTTCAAAAAAGAATATTGTATGATTTCTTAGTGATGTTGAAGAAGTCCCAGCGGAAATGCCTCGTTGTAATGAGACTACGGGAATAATAATTTCATGATTGAAGAGTATTTTGGACGTTTACCTTTTGCCGCAGCCAATTCCTATTTAAAAAGCCTTTTAGCATAGCAATCGAAACTCGTAAAGGACAGGCAATGAATTGCTTTCTCTAATGCAATTCAGTGACGATCACTTTTTTTATGGACTGCGGATACAAAGAACTCATTAGTACAGATGTACAATGCTGCATTCGCCAATTATTTCCAACGTACGATTAGAACAATAGATTTCCTCAGATTAAAGTTATAAAGTTACGTAAAAATGGTGTATATAGATCATTATTTCCTGGCGGATAAAAGTGCTCTTGCACCGTTATGATAAATGTGGAGGCATCTTATTAGAGGAAATATAGAGAGTTAGAGTGCACGGTGTGAACAGAGACGCCACTATGATGGTCCATAAAATTCCGTTCTAAGCTTGTCTGCATGTGGTTGGCTTCTGTATATTGGGTGTAATTAAATAATTCTGCGATCGCAGTTGAGGTATTTAATGAACAGCTGTAATGCCAGTCCGCACTTCCCACTAACATACATTTTTTACTTGTGCTTCATGCGTACAGTAGCAATTTCAGAATGAAGGTTTCGCTTCTTCTGGTCTCGTGGCTGCCAGCGTTCGCAGTATGCACTTCAATCTCTAACAACCCAAATTCTCTATGTAAGTTCTCTTCTAGCAAGGGTGTCCATAGTGCTGAACACTAGAACTCAGAGTTCTCAGAAGCTTACACTATTACGGTAGTCTCTAGACGCAAGGAGCTGATAAATGGGTAACACTTTTGAAGTCCTCGTGCAAAAGTCCTCGTACGTTGCAATCATCTTTAAAACCTATGCGAAAAAGACGACACTTGTAAGTATTGAAATGAATAGTTACCCACCCACGAACGAGGTCTAATCGTGGAAAACCATGTCTACTCCGCTGTTTTAGTTTACATCAAAGTAAAGACTGTGCTTGTATATAGACTGCTTGCTGCTCAATGCTTAATAGGAGAACTAAAATCAAATCAGTTTCCGTACTTCTCACTTGCACTCCCTCTTGGAAAGTCTCTTCAAAGTTCAGATTTATTCAGAATATTAGGTAATATCTAACATAACAATAGTAATCTCTAGGCGTTATCATCACTAGCGAAAACCTAAACATGTCCTTCCCCCATGCTGAATACGCGTACCATGCAATAGTCACAAAAGGAGGGTATTCCCACAATGAAGAAAAGGTTGGTTTTTTCTTACAATGAGCGAGTGTGAAACTGTCGTTGCCAACTGCCGACATCAAAATTCAGGTTAAAGTGGGAGACTTTATCACCGTTCAAAGTTTTTTCTGCCCCCTAATTCGGAAGAAACACTACTTCCTGAAAGGTAAGCAACAAATCACATGACACTCTGAAGTGAACGTTATTGCTATAGGAACTCCGAGCCGTTCTACGCTGTACATCCGTCACCACATATGCTCAGAAATAGAAGATTGCAAGCTATAGATGATTACCTGCATGACCATCCAATTTCTCCCATGTAGTAAAAAATAAACGTTGTTTCGCAATTTTCACAGAGAAAAACATTTGTTTCCCATGCTCAAGCACTAGAGGATGAAGAATGCTAAACAGTATTACAGAAAACAGTACTCGCTATAAACGAAATTCACATTTTCAGGTACGCGTTGGTAGGCAGCTTATATAATAATCGATTTAACTTAGAAGCTTCTGCGAAAACCACAACAAACACTTCCAATTGTCACCATTTCTAGTGAAGAAGTGTGATAGATATACGTGAGAGATCGATCTGTTTCTTAAAATTTGGCGGCTCAAGCACCGTTTTTTTTTTTTGAAACTGAGTTTGGTAATATTATGATGTGGTACAGCGGGGTTCTCACTAAGTAATCGCTCGAGTCCAGCTGCAAAGGTGTTTAAAGAGAAAAATTAGCCCCGCAAGCCAAAAGCGGCAAGGTGGCTACGCCCATCAGTAAGCATAGTGTAAAATCAACTGGCAAAAGTGGGCTCTAATGTACCCATATTTGTCGAAAACCTGTGCTCGTAATTGATTCTTTACTATTTAAGATATACAGATTTCCAGTTTAGACCATATGTCTTTAAACCACCAGAGTCGGTTGATGGGCGGTGCTTCCTTGCTGCTCATACTTTCCAAAGCAATCCTTTCGCTCTGAATTTTAGTTTACGAGACTCAAGCTATACCTAGTTAGGAGCTCCTCTTATGCAGTGTTTCGCCTCAGGGCCTTTGAGTTAATGGACAGGGCGAAGTCGTCGCCCTGAATCCTAACGCTCCCTTTTCTGTCACTCAGCGAGCAATGTCAGAGAATCTATTCGCGAATTTTTCTATCATTTACATCATAGGCTTTCTTTGTTCGCAATTCTTGCATCAAACACTTTGCGGCTGTATGCTTTGAAAAAGTCACTTCTTGTCAGTAGTTAAACAGCTGTGGTCATTATTTTCAGGCATCCTAATAAGCAGGCATTTGTCTTATGTAACCGTTTCAAAGTAACAATTTGGCGGTCGGGCAGAAGGCAGTAAGACTTGCCACTTCTGCTTATGAAAGTACTCAAAGAGTTTTAGACTTTTCTGCGCCTTTGACTATTGATAAGACCTATGCCCAATTGTTCGTAGCTTTTCGAGGGTGATAGATTGGAAAATACAGTTTTGTGTTTTGAATTTCATGGCAAATGGTTTAGTACGTCTGAAGAAACTCATGAAGTACTTAGATGGCCCGTCCTCACGTGATGTGCCGGTCCCAGCACAGAAGTTGTTGAGGAATGATGTGCAAGATAATATGATAAGGATATGTTACTTGTTTTTGAAAATAAGTCAGCTATATATAGTTGTGACAAGCGTGCACTTCTCATTCTGGTGGATTGCTCCCTCGGATAAAGGATTCTCTGCATCCACTTTGGTACATAACAGAAGCTTCCATTGGTTCCTATCCCTCGCTTCAGACATCCACGATCTTCTTGGTTGTCGTCGTGGCTGTGTGCACGAGTTCTAGGCGCGAAAGTCGCATCCATCTGATTTCTCAGCTGGTCCATACGTTCCACGAACACGTCTGCCCATTTCGTCGGAGGTCTCACTCGGGCACGTTTTGCTTTGCGAGGAATCCCCTCCGATGTTTTTATCCTATGTCGTCTGTTCTTCTCAAAGTGTGACCATCGATGCTTCGCTTTCGCAACGTATTCCGCTGGGCCACGAAGACGAGACATTCATCTCAAATCCGTACTGCGAAATCCGACAAGATGTTAATTGTGGCGGCTCGTCTTCTGAAGACAGTGCTCAAGCGCTCTGTGGATGGTCCGTGGAGCTTTCGACGTGGTTACAATGTCGGCTCAAGTCTCAGCTGTGTATCAGAGCGGCGGGAGAACGGTTGATTCGAACAGGTGGCACAGCTCTCAGCTCCAGCACAGTTCGTCAGTTGGTCGGGGGCTTGATTCAGAAGAAGGCGGCCCAAGCTGCTCTTCTTTTCCTGTTGAGTTCTTCCCTCAAGTCGTTCTCTATGTTCACCGAACATTGTTCACTGTTTCCGGGATACACGTAAGACGTTTACACTATGGCGCATTCCAAATCCATTTTTGCATTCGCAAAAAGCGCTCTTCATGGGCTGAGCTGAGTTTTCTTCCGATGTACTTGCTTGTCCTATCTTCTTCCCTACTTCGTTTAGTTCCTTCAGCATCGTTTCGGCTTCAGTGATACTGCTCGAGAAGGGGACGATGTCGTCCGTAAAACGAAGGTTTTGACAGGAATTTCCCATCAACTCGTATGCCTCTCTCTTCGCGGTCCACTGACTTCATCACCCACTGCAAGGCCGGAACAGCTTCGGCGAGATTGCGTCGCCTTGTCGGACCCTTTTTCAATTGGGATGGTCAGGGGCATGGAATAGCTGCATCGCCGTTGTACAGGTCCTTGTAGCGGTCGGTTAACGTCCTCACGTTAGCTGGGTCCACTCCTTGATCGACTAGCGTAGAAAGGATGGCGTTGGTTTCGACGCTGTCAAAGGCTTTCTCGTAGTTGACGAAAATTAGGACAAGAGGCAGTCGGTACTCCCGGCAGACTTTTATGACCCTCGAAGCCGTCCGGATATGGATGCAGCTGAAGCCTTTACGAAATCCAGCTTGTTCTTGGGATTCGGTTTCGTCCAGTGTCCTAGGTATGCAAGCGTGGACAATCTTTGTTAAAAGCTTGTACAACACACTCAGCAGGCATATAAGACGGTAGTTCCGATCCTCCCGTACCCTTCTTGAAGAGAAGGACGTTTCTTGACGTTCCTTACTGGACGGAAATTCTCTCCTCTGAAGGTAAGATGTCAGGTGCGAATTTTGAATCTTGTGTAGACGTTGTCCTCCGGCTCGCAGAAATTTGACGGAAAGATGGTCTGGTCTTGGAGCCGTGAACTCTTCATGGTGGGAAATGCCGTGCGCATTTCAGCAAGTAGATTTAGTGGAGGTACTTCATTAGTGAGAACGAGAGGCATCGGCATGGGTGTTGATGAGCGAAAGAGGTTGGTGTGGAAGTTCCTCGCAATAGATTTTATTTTGTCGAAAAAAAAGTCGGAGTCCCGTCTTCTAACGTATAGAATTGATTTTTTGAATTGATTTGGGATAGGTTAGTCAGCTAATCTCCAAGCCGGAATTTTGAACATACTCTTACAGGGCTTATCAAATTGAGTGTCTTTGCACCAGCATCTCCATCATCGCGCTGGACTCTGCGTCTCTTCTGCGGAAGATGCTCTCTAATCACTTCCAATCGATTGAGGCTCCGCCTTTACCACGCTCGCCCTGGGAAAGTGCTCGGAGAGCATGTGCCGCAGAAGAGACGCAGAGTCCAGCGCGAAGATGGAGATGTTGGTGCAAACGACAGTCAATTTGATAAGCCCTATATAATCTTTCCCATCTCAATCATTTTGAAGACATGGACTTTCAAACTTATAGCAAAAGTTCTTTACTACGCGGCACATTTGCTTTTTTCTACTCCACATTGAAGAAAGCTGTACTGAATCCGATATATGTGGGGCTGAAACCGATCATAGCTGACAATGAAATTAAAAGAAACTGCGAGGTTTCCAATTTGATCCATCAGAGAGATTTTCGTTTCATTCTCTTGCTTGTGAAGAAATCAAAGGTGTGAGAAATGAGATGAGAAATGTGCTTAGAGGCCCGAAAAAATCTGGAGCTTTTCAGGCATTTCCAAAAGCAGAAGCGCCTAAGCTTTGTTAACTCTTGTCAAATTTACATGTTGAAGATTGGTCAGTGGTCGCTGTCAGTGGCGAATCACATAAATGAGAAACTACGGGCGTACCCAGGATTTCCGTTCCGACGGGGGGGGGGGGGCAAAAATTCTTAAAATGAAGGTGCGGGCGTCATGCACTCCGAAAAAAATTTTGTGGTCTCACTGCCTCGAAAGCCCCCAAAAAATTTTTTATAAAGCTAGATAGAAATTTTAAAAAATTCTAAAATCAATTTCAAATCACCTTATTTACAATTATTTACGTATAAACAAATCATGTACATCTTTATAACTCATGCAAGTAAGTTTTGAAAAGCAACCCAGGCCTATAGCAAATGCCTTAGCCCAGCTCGGCTAGAGGCGGGCCTACGTTAAACGTACTACGCCTCATTCCAGTATCCAACGAGCTATTAATCAGAATTCGGATCATTTTTGGACATAAAAATCTTGAGCGCTCTTGAAAAACGAAGCCACTTGGGCAGGTTTGATTTGGTCGAACGATTGCATTCAACGCGAAAGACAGTGGTTCAAGGCTGGCTAGCGGGAGAGGCAGATTTCTGCGCATGGGCAACCTTCGAGAACTGCCAATATGGAAAAAAAAATCGATGACTGCTATCAAGGATGTCGCCTAGCAAGAAATGGATGAAACAAAACTAGGGTTTTGAATAATAATTACAGTGAATAATTGCATTCTTTAAAGGCAGTGTCCGGCCAAAAACTCGATTTTGAGATTTTGTGCTTACCCAGGCCTATTCGCTACGCTGAATCCGAAAATCCACATTGGAAAGCGCAAAAACGGCAAAAAAGGGCTATAACACAGGAGGGAAATCGAAAGTGGGCGGGGTCTTCCTCAGGGTGAATTCACGGTGCCAGCTCCCGGAGCGATCTTTTCGCTTCCGACTTCAGATCATGTATTCGCACTTCGTCCGTTGAGATGTCAGGGCGGTTAGTGGGATTGAAAAGATCGCTCCGAAAGCTGGGACCGTGAATTCACCCTGGGGAAGACCCCGCCTACTTTTGATTTCACTCCTGCGTTAAAGCCCTTTTTCGCCGTTTTCGCGCTTTCCAATGTGGATTTTCGGATTCAGCATAGGGAATAGGCCCGGTTAAGCACAAAATCTCAAAATCAAGTTTTTGGCCGGACACTGCCTTTAATTTTGAACTCAAACATGAGGTAGTCAAATTAATTACTACTATCAACTGGCATTTGCTAAGACTACAGCTCATTAGGTCAATGCAAGATTGTGGTGAAAAATTTAGATCTATAGAACTGAGAACTCATAGTTTGCAATATCCTGGGAGGTC